AAAACATTGATATGTGTTGTAATCATCCTATACACGGGAGGGTGACAGATTCCGTTAAAGGGCCTTTCATGTGATGGTGATCTCCAACGTTCCATCAATACATCAAGTTATTCCAAGCACGCAGTTCACTTCACAGGCTGCACAGACTCAACATGGCAGATATTAGCTATGTGAATAATCTAGGGTGACCAGATAATCCATATCAAGGAGGATCACTTTCAGCTACTTCAAGTTTTACAAATTACTTTTAAACTCAAAGGCTCCTGTGCTTGGCTAAATAGTTCAGTTGACCTGTTTAGGCGCTTTGACGCCTAAGTTCCAGGCTGTTTGGGCCGGTCACTTCTGTGTAACAGAACAGAAAAACTGGCACCTTTATGCTAAATAAGCACTGAAGACACAAAAAGCTCTTAGGTTAAACTTCACACGATTTCATACGAAACATGTTCAGTGCCACAACACCCAGATCCGAGGAAGAAGGCAAGACTAACATCAAACACTGAAGAGGCGTGCAATGCTGTAACGCTAAGAGAGCTTATGCATCGTAATCTACAAAACAGCAGGACCCAGTATCACAATGGCCGGAAACCTGTAGGTAGTGCCAAGTTAATTCCCAGAGAACCACACGGCTACATTTTTACAGATGGTCTGAAAAGCACTGTGCAGAATTGCACTCTCTGTGACACCAGCTACCATGACGGGTAATAATAATAATAATAATAATAATAATAATAATAATAATAATAATAATAATGGCTTCCTCCCACGCAGCCAGGGAATAGGACCTTATACAGCACATAACCTGTTTCTGTGGACTGCCCGGGGACAACCCTCATTCTAGGCAGCCTGACCGACAGCAACAGAACGCGCTCTGTGGGTCCCCAGGAGCCAGTTAACCCTTCGAGGGGAATGGAAGAACAGACCCACCGTAGGTGTGAATTTATGAGGTGGATGCTAAGGGTTAGGACACCATCAAACCATGATAACGGCCTGGTGGTGCAGCAGGACGAGATCATGATCATCACAACAGCAATTCAGCACACTGGAAGCTCTACATTATCCTCCTGAAAAAAATAACCAAGGGAGCACAAGCTGGGTAAGTAAATAAACCTGAGACCCATTAAATGCCACAATCAAGATGCAGAACGGAAGCTCTCACAGTGCCAAAGGATCATCTCACATGCGGGGGCATTTGGCCACGCCCATCAGTCAGGCATTGGTTGCTTTGTCAGGCTTAACGAATGGGTGCAGAGCCGAATCAAGCTGCACGTGGCGATCCAGAGCCTCACAATCACCTTAGCCGTCCCTGTGTAAATCAAAAGGAGTCCTGCAACAGCATCTTTAAACCTGCGGTTCTGAACCCAGGACCAGTAGCGCAAGCATGTTCTGGCTCTTTAATTAATGATGGACTCTGGCATAGGCTGCATGTGCAAAATCAGATCACACTCCATACCATACGGCTTGCTAATGTCTCATTTGTGCATCACTATACTAATGAAAAGCATTTTTCTCCGCATTTGAATATGTCACTTATCACAAGTATGAAACTTGTCACAAAAAGAACAATTAGCTAACTGAAGTATGTGTAATAATGTTATTCATATAAAATTTGAATTAATGATTTTGTTTCATGAATGATTCAGGAACACTGGTGGACCTTTTGTGTCCCCGTCAACCAGCGCCAATTGAAAGACATTATAAATCCTGCATTAAGAGTGGTGCAGCAAGCATTTGGGGGGAAAAAAAGCTGGCTCTTCAGCCGACAGCTTGATCGCCTCTAATTAAGAGCAGAGCTGCGGCACGGCCTGACCGGGCCGGGGGTTCACGAGAGTCAGGGACAAGAGCCCCCAAGTCACAAGATTTCATGGTTAAAATACAGCGTGGCACAATTCAGGAGATGTACGGTTGAGGAAAGCACAAATGTTAAACAAATGCTGATGAAAATCCAGCTAAGGGTGAAAACTGCATGTCGCTTCAGACCGAGAGAATCGGATATATAGCTGATGTACAAGATGAAAGAAATCAGCTGAAATGCTGAGACACACAGCGCGGATTGCAGCATTTGCGCGTTAAGTCGGTTAGCGTACTCTGCTGCAGATTTCACACAGTTACAGCTGCAACCAGGATTCACCCCTGGCTACAATCCTGTCTCACATATATCCCGGTAAACCCACACGCGTGATTGTTACGGGCACAGAAACCACCGGAACACCCCACCATCTTTTCACAAGCTGTCCACGGAGCCAGAACGTTCTCTCATGCCCGGATTATGCACCACGAGGAGGCAAAGCTCAACGCCGTCAAGATGACTGTGCATCTCGGAGAAAGTGACAAGCAAACAGCTCAATGTGACAGAAGAAAAAGGAGACGTCCCTCAGGCAGGAGTCGGCGAACGCCACCCCAGCTGGAGCTACAGACGGGAACAGGAAGCGTTCAGATAAAGGACTGTCACAGGCAGCAGAATTAATAACCCAGCAATACGGCAACCATTGTGCAGAACAAAGTGTGTGGGACATTCCTCTCCGATCGGTTTCTATGGTTCCCCGGCATCAGAGAGCTAAACGACAAAAAGGACACTAGGTCCTGCCGGGGCTCCAGGAGGATGGGAGGTAGATCTTGTCAATGGTTTTCTTTCCTGACTGTTTAAGTGAGTTTACAAACTGAATGAGGCTGAACGGGGGAAGCAGGTAAGCTACCCCAGTGAAGGACCAAAAAAAGCCACACACATAAAATGCGTGCTGCCCACGCCACTTCTACGGGCATTCTCGTGGGTGGCAGAGAGGATGTCATGCCATACCGGGATCTGGCCGCCAACCTATGGAACAAAAGTGCTGTTTGCGTCAGGATTTGGCTGTCATATGAGCCTCCCTGTGGTCACCCCTTTCCTTAAGTCAGTTCAGAACACAGCAGGACAGTTCGCCCCCAACAGCATTAAAAAAAAAAAAAAAAAAAAAAAAAAGGGTAAAGAGACACTCCTCCTTCAGCGATCTGTTCTAGGGGACAGGAAGTGCAGTTGGCACGCGGCAGACAGCAGAGTTACCATCCTGACCGACCGGAGGAGCGATCAGCAGGACGAGGACAGAAAGCAGTCCGGCTCTCTCGGCTTATGGACGTGATGTTCCGGACATTCTAGCACGACAGATCGGCCACGGGTGGCGCAGATACAGGGACGCCAGTCACAGAGCGAGATCTCCATCAGGGGCCCGAAAAGACAGGCCGATGACCCTTTCGGTCCTGATGTGGTTTTATCCTCAAAGAATAACGGGGGGGGGGGGGGGTCATCTGGGGGGAGTGTGGTGTAGGCCTCGCCTGCCATGCGCTGAGAAATTAATTATTGGGGACAAGATTGTCAGCAATGCATCAGACCCCGAGTGAACTGTAATTAAAATGAGGTTTTTAAATATACAATTCATTATGCTTAACAGCGATAAGCAATTAAAAGCGCAGAAGGCTATCTACAGAGGCAAGTTCTAATTATGATAATGCAGAGTCAATTAATCTGCTGCTTGTATAACTTACTAATCAGCGACATAACATCATTGCCGTGTTATTAACCGCACGTGGTAGATACGAGGAATCTCGTGGCCACGCCCACAATTAAGGAGCTGTCAAAATACTGCCGGATTGAGCGTCTGGGTATTAAACCTGGGATGGGAACAAAACAATCAAACAAAGAGCGACGTCCAGATCGCTCGGGATAAATGTCAGGTGGCCGCTGCGGTCCTAATTACGGAGTTCGGTGTGAATAATCGCTCGATATGTGATCGGCATCCTCACCTTACAAATCAAGAAGAAATTAACACGTTTAACTGCAGTCCTGCTTAAAGATCCTTCATCGGAAGGGAACTGGCTAAATGTTATTAAGTTCATATTTAACGCGGCGAGGAAATTTTCATGCCAAGCTGCCGGTTGCAGTTTTAATAGTTTTATGGCGTTTTTGTCACTCTCTGCTACAGGTAATAAAAGTTTGAAAAAATATGGAACCACATGTTTAATTCAAAGCATACAGGATTTAGATGAAGCACATGTGTACCAAAGCCACCCCGCCCAGTGGAGCCGTCCCTGGTGTTTTCTGTGCTGAAATGCACGGAATGCAGAAAACAAGAAACTCACCAGAGCAGATAATAATAATAATAATAACAAAATAATAACAACAATAGCAATAATAAATAGGCTAATAAAACGGCAGATATTTTCTTAACTGCCTTTGAAGCTATTTCACTGTCGTCTGACTAAGGGGATTCGGTCATAAGACATATTAATGGCAGTGGGATGGGCTTTCACATTCCCAGTTCATCCTATACACGTATTTTCCAGTAGGAGGGCATGTTTTATGCATTTTCAAAAGAAGTCCTGCCTTTCTACTCTCAGCACACTTTCCCTGAAGTGTTTTATTGAAAATAAAAAATTAAAAAACACACCGAACCACGAACCCAGAATCACTCCATGCACGAGTACTTCGGTACGCGTGACACCAAGAGCCAGACCCATCAATTCAAACCAATTCCCTGGTCTGTGAAGGCGCATAGCAACACTGATCGCCAGGTTACGCCAGGCTGTACTTCCATTCATGCTGTAGCCTATACAGTTCGGCTGCCGATCTGCATGTGGATGATGCCCGACATGCTGACAGGTTACATCTGGTATTAATACACGGATGACATGACTCGATGTTACTATAAATTACACCAGACAAAAAAAAGAAAAACAAAATTACAAAAAGAAGCCACATATACTGATAGAATACATAAAATGAGTGCATATACACGGCTCAATAGTAAAACACATTTTAAACCATCATTAACACGAACGGCGAAATTCCAATAATGCTAACAATTGCTGTCGTTTATTTTCTACTCACAACAGTGTGGATTTTGCTATCCGTCAAAGAAATGTAAATAAAATAGAAAATCCCCCCGTATAAATAGGAAATAGTTTAAACAGCGCCAACGCTTTTGAAGTGGAGAAGAAACAGCCTGTTGAAGTTACTGGCGGCGGCTCACCTTCGGCTGCTTCCGTGCCATGTCGGTCGGTTGCTTGGCATTGAACGGGTAGGCGATGCACCTCAGCACGAACACGTATATTTGCAAAATGACCCTTCGCTCCGCTCCCTCTTTTTGAAGTTTCTCACGCTCGTTTTTCTCTTTCTCGCCGGGGACAGGGCTGGCGGGTCGCGGTCGAGCCGATCCTGCTCGCTTCCCATCCCGGCTGTCTCGTCCTTGCGCAGACACGGACCTCTGCGGACTGACCGCCGGAGCAGCATCCCGGATCTCCTCTTCTCGACCTTCTTCACCCGATTCCTCGCTGGAGGACGGATCCAGCATAGCCGCCTCTGATCCACAGTAACTGCCGCTCACCCAAAGTGAACTGCGCCGAATTCAGATGCGCAATAACTGTGCCAGCTTCTGCCCCCTTGGTTATTTTTTCCGGAGGAGCACGCCGAGTTTGAGGATAATGTGTGTTAATCCTCAAAGTGGAGGGAGGAGTTTTATTGCCAACCGATTTTCCGCTCTCTATTAGGTCAAACAGCGCAGATGTCGGGGCCGCACAGGTAGGAGACCTGTAGCGCCAAGTGAGATCAACACGTGGGAGGGAGACGCGGTTATATAGAGGACTCAGTTACTCCTTCCCATTGATCATTTTGATAAGTTTCTGAGATAAAATACTAAAAATCCATGCATCATCCAAACCTAATGGATAATGAAACAACAACACACAAAATATGTCTTTATGCAAAACCGGGTATGGACAAAATTGCATAAATTAACTATTAAAATGAACTACAATGTATTCAACGTATACTGCACGTCATGATTATTTTCATCATTTCATTTGTATGACCGTCTTATGGCTTTCAAGAACATAAGTGAGGCTCATATTCAAAGTTAGTGAAATCGTTTTATTCTCTTCGTGTTCATTAATCCGCAGGAGCGTGGGTTGACCGGCATTCTGGTATACACATGCGTTTGGTGAAAGAAAACTCATTATACATATTGCGTGAAGACACATATTTTCGCTATACAATAATAAATCGATATTACACATACTTCGTTAACATTTAGTACAGTACTTTTTTTTCTTTTTTAAAAAAAAAAAACTTCATTCACAGCACCCCACTAGCTATAAGATATTAAGCTATACATTCATTGGGAAACAGCGCATTCACAGATCATCGGTAGAGTAAAAAATTCAGATGAAACATCTTACGGGAACCTTTCTGAATAGCAGAATGCCTCGGAGCGAAGCGATCCGGCATATTTGGCCATTAAAAAGTCTATGACTACAGTAATTAATAAATGGGATAACTACAACCACTAGATGGCGCCCTGCCGCTTTTGTAACGGACTGTTATATTTCTTCTACGTCGAATACAATATTGCCATAATATATCTGGGATCCATAGTAATTCTATTACATATTAATTTAGTTTTAAAATTAGATTTTTACTTCACCGTAAGTTGTTTGATTAGACCTTTCTGCTACCAGCTTCCCGTTTTGGTTCAAAACTGGATATGAATACGTACATCCATGCACGCAGGCACGCGCCCCCATCTGTGACACCTTCGGGCCTGCCCGCGCGAAGCTTTTAATGTTGAGGTAGGCTGTAAGACGATCAGGAGACGGAGTATGTCTTCTCGTGTCCCTGAGGGGGACCTGGTCAGCAGGTACATAATTCTGTGTCACATTATCTGCTTACAGCTACACCCAGTAATAGTATAGACCTGAAACATGGGTGCTTTTATTCCATAAAAAGGCAAGCCAGCCCTGGGAAAAGGCTCTTAACTGCATTTAACTCAAAACCATATTCCCTTGGTTTTCCTGACGGTAGTCTCTTGGGAAAAGGGGATTTTCTAAACAAAAGCTGGACTATCACCATTATATATTATTGTTATGATACATATTTAACAAAAGTGATTTACATCATTTACAATTTTACACTTTTACCTCTGTTTAGACAGCTGGACACTGTATTGATTTAGGTCAAGGACCTTGCGACACTTTTCCTTCTGAAATTGAAACTGCATCCCTCTTGGCCCCAAGTCTAACTTCTCGACCGCTAGTCCACCTGGTGGATTTAAGAGGAATTTTGACTGAACTGTTAAGTCCAATCACAGATTCTTTAAAAGTGGGGCTCACTTTTCCTCAAGTCTGGCGAGCATTGCAAGAATGTCCCCGTCATCGAGGTGCGACAGCAAACTGAAGCACTCAGATAAACATATGAAGAGTCCATGGAAGTTCAGAGAGTCTGTCGAAGCTCAGACTGCTGTGGAATTTGGGGCACCGGGAAGAGGTGCCCAGGAAGGGTAGTTGTTCAAATCATACAGTGGAATTCCCCACGTTGTCACAGCCAATAAGACCACAAGGACACCGATGATGTTCACACCAAGTCCCGCCTTCACCTGAAATCACATCAGGCAGATATCAAGAGCAGCAACATCTAAAACTGGCTCTTAATCCTATCACTCAGTCCTTATTAAATCCATAACTAAGCACAGGGCAAATGTTTCCCCTTGATGGGGGGCTGAGTAACAGCCAGAGAAATCCAGAGCCGGCTCTCTTCTGCGGGGGACGCGCTTTAGTAAACACTCACCATATCCATGACGGTGATGTGGCCGTAGGTGAAGACGATGGCGTTGGGGGGGTTAGATACAGGCAGGAGGAAGGCAAAGGAGGTGCAGAGTGTTGTTGGTATGAGGATGTACAGCGGATTCACCTGGATGGCTTCAGACTGTCAGGCGTAAGAAGAGGGTCACATGACCAACGCTGGCATCAACGTGCATGCATGCTTGCACCAAGTCTGAGTCAAACTTCCAAATGCAAATAAAATGATCCGATTTTAAAATACTCAAGAAATTTTTCAATAGCTGAAATTAATGAGTCACAACAGGGGAGACTGATTATAGTGTGCTGTCGCTATGGTGTTAGTGTTCTTGTCATGGCGGAGAAACCGGCGCACCAGAGCAGTGAGGATAGGCAGGAAGATGGTGATGGTGGCTGGGTTGCTGGCCACCTCCGTCACGCTGGTGGTGAGGATGCAGGTGATGGTGATGATCAGCCAGCTGGGGAGGCTTCCCAAGGGGGTGAGCAGACTCCCCACCCAGGCAGACAGACCGGAGACCTGTCAGAAGGCGAAGGATACTCTGGGAGGTGTGCTGGAGCAGGCCGTGCAGCTCACATGCTGCGGCCGACGTTCCTACAGGATACACCCACTTCCCCGTGACACTTATTTTCCTGGGTGTGGATGTGTCCAAAAAAATCCATAAAATCCATCATGAAAGCTAGGACAAACATCTTTACCTTTATTCGACATTGAATGGAGAGATGCACTATTGCAAGTTCCCTTTCTGTTTCTGTGACACTAAGGTAGTTCCCTGTCCTGGGCAAAGGTGAGATGGTACCTTGGTGCCTTCAGCAAGTGCAAAGCCTCCACCAACAAGGATGCCGATTTCCCACGGCATGCAGGACTGGAACTCCTTCCATGAAATTAGCGTCTCTGCATGAGAAAAAGAACAAGAAATGGATGACATCACTCTTCCATCCTGGTTATGGCTGCCTTCAGTGCTCAACATGGAATTACAGCCACAATCATGGGCAGCCGTAGCTCCCAAGCAGAGCAAAAAACTTCTTTCCTATCAATCCTCCACTGCATTTACTGGAATTTGTTCACCATTGGTGTCGAGGGAGGGACAGAGTCCTCCATCAAAAACAGGGAACTCCCCAGTTCTACACTGTAAGATAATAGGCACAATTACCATTTGGGAGGTGCTGTTGTACCTTGATGAAAAAAGCACTTAACTTGACTTTTTTAAAAATAACCTGCGGCATGTAAGTGGTTAAAGTTGAAAGCTTTGTTAGTCATTCCGGGTGAGTAACCAGCTGAACAACGTAATGGTCAAGAGATGTCGGTCATACCGAATTTGGGGTGGGTGGGCTTGTGTGCTGGGATGATGTAGAGCGTCAGGCCCAGCAGGATGGCAACTGTGGCGTCTGTGGCGTAGCCCTCGAAGCTGCAGAGAGGAGGGGGACAGGGGAACGTCGGAGTTAGTAATGCTCTTCAAGGGCTTCTTACGAGACCAAAGTACAGAGTTTCTATGGGTTTAAGGATTTCCAGATGGGTGGCTGTTTGTATGCCGTGGTGTTGTCACACCATCGCAGACATCAGAGTCGACCACAAGGAGACACCAGTGAGTCCCCTAGCCAGAATACGAAATGGACTATTTGGGTTTCTGAGAGTGTGTGCCTGTGTATCACGACCGCTCACACCTTTGAGACTCTCGCCCAATGCAAAGTCACGGCTCTCCTCCTCGAGTTACGGTCGGAGCGTTTAGTTTGATTTCATATTCTCTAGCCAAAATTATCCTTGGCTTCATTTCTCAGTTTACAGTTCTCTGGATTTGCCAACACCTGATCTACTTTTGTTGAATATGATCTTGGAATAATGATTTAGCTTTTGGAATTAAAATCCACAACTGGATCTTACTTCCAAGTTTGTCTCCATGACACAAGTAAGTACAAAAATGGGACAGCTTTGTGATTAACACCTCATACATTGGAAAGGCGATCACTGTGTGCGGTTTGGGTTTGGTGTGTGTGAGGTCTGCATGCAGTCTGGGTGTGGTCTGTTTGCAGTCTAATAGAGGTCTGCATGAAGTGTGAGAGTGGTCCGGGTGTGATCTGTGTGCGGTCAGAGAGTGGTCTGCATGTGGTTTGTGTGTGGTCTGAGAGCAATCAACGTGCAATCTGAGATTGCTCTACATGTGGTCTGCATGCAGTCTATGTGAGGTCTGTGTGTGGTCTGAGAGTGGTCCGTGTGTGGTCTGTGTGTGGTCTGGGAGTGGTCCGTGTGTGGTCTGTGTGTGGTCTGACAGCTGGCGAGACTCTTACTTTGAGAAGAGTGAAGCCCAGCCTGGCATGAAGCCTGGATTCCTGGTGAACCACAGCAGGACCATCAGCATGAAGATGACCAGCGTTATCATCTCCTGGGGCCTGCAAGCAAGGCGAGTTAAAGCAGATTGTCGCCATGTGTCCAAACCTTTCTTAATCAAGAAACAGCCCCCTCCATAGAATTCTCTCTGTCTTGTTCTCGCTAAAGGCACTTAACCTGAATTGCTCAGTAAAGATCCGGCTGCATAAGCAGGTGGATGGTCATATCACACATATATTACACTGCCGCTGGAAAGGATTAGTGCCAAGAGAGATATAAATAGCTGTCATAATGGGCCAGCAGCATGACTGACCTCAAGGGTCCCAAGGCGCGGTACTCTTCCTCGATGACTTTAGCTGTCGCTTTCTCCCTCTCCGACTTCTCCTTTCTGCAGCTGAACAGGGACCTGAAGCTGCGGTTTTTAATCACAGGTAGGAGGGGGTCGGCTTTAACAAGGAGGACGTGTGGTCTGCACCTGGCTCATTACAGGGCACAGGAAGCCCAGTTTCTGCTGGTTACATGAGAAGAGGGTGATACTCACTCAAACCCCAGGAACATCCAGTGGAGCCAGACCCAGGACAACAGCAGCACGATGATGCTGATGGGGAAGCACATGATGAACCAGTTCCCAAAGTTCACGCAGTTGCATTCTGGGTAATACCTGTCAGGGGTCACAGGTGTGGGTTACATACTCAAGTCTCCAACCGATGCCGAGTCGCCTTTT